AAGGCAGAACCCATCCTTAGGAATCCCCACAGGTGATATTTAACAGGAATTTCTGCTGTTCCAAAGCAAACCAGGGCCTGTCATCCACCAAAGGCCTGGATATTTGTGCCCTTCGTGGGTTTTTTCCCATCTTTCCAGCAGAAATAAGAATGCACGAAAAGTTAAAATATAGCACAGGTGGGATAATTGCAGGAAATTCTGAAAAAAAAAAAAAAGTTTTAATGTCATTAGAAAATCCCTACCCACAGCATCTTACCTTCCCAAAACCAAAGCTGTAAATGTTCCTGGCCACACTGGGCTGTCCTTTCAGGAATTTTCCCAGTGAATTATCAGCATTTCTAAATACCAAAAACAAAAGCAATAAGAGTAACTTATTTACTCCAAGACTTGGATACAGAGAGAGAGGAAAAAAAAAGCAGAATTTCTGCTAGAACCCTGCACTTGACTGGTCCCACACACATAATGTGGATGTTAAAATTGCAAATTCTTGTGCATCTCATTAAAACTTTTTAATTTTCATGATATTTATTTATTTAAAGCAAGATAACCAATAAATATACACACACTGTATATCCTGCACTGCCTTTTTGACCACAAGTCTGTATTTTTCCCAACAATGTATCTGACACAAAAACTCCTGAAACATTTGGGAACACACCCCCAAAAAGATCTGCAGTGATCTTAAAAAGTCCAAAAAACAATTTCATGCTACCACTTCAATGCTACTAAAACCCAGTGCTTGCTGATTTCAAGAGTTTAATTAATAAAGTTTCTCTTAATATACAGATATTTATCAATTTTACAGAACTTAGAACTGTCACAGCAGAAATCAAATTAATCCCAATGGACTTAAATCTGCTACTATCAACAAGATACAAGAACTTGCTAATGTTAAAACAACAGAAAATGGAAATAAAATCTCTTGTTACCCTTGGACAAGGCCACCAAACCTCGAGGGGCTGCAGATCAAGGCCTTTGAGGAGCCAACTTTCCTGAGCAGATCAGAGGGAAGGTTCCAAATTGCAGCTTGCATGTGCAGTGTGCACTGTTGGATAAATTCCAGCATCTGGGCAGCAGCAGGAGGAGGGAAGAACAATAAATTAAGGCTTCAGAATAAGAAAAAAAAATATTTCAAATTCATAAATCAGGACTATTGGAAAAATAAGCGGTTATTTGAAACTGGCATTTTGAGAAGGACATTAACAGAAAAAAGCTTGAAGAAAATCAATTACATGAAAATGGAAGAAAAAATTCGAAAATTCACCCACAGAAAATTATAATTCCAGGTTTCTTTTCAAGAGGAGCGTTGTGATAACAGAGAAAAGGAGTTTTAAATCAATATTGCAGCCGAGAATCAGCTTTCCACACAAATACCTGAGCACTGCTTTCCTTCCTGGCTGACAAAGCCCAGAACTGGGGAGTTTTGCCCTCTTTGTCGTGGACTCTGAGATCTCCTCCTTCATCCAGTAACCTGCTGAGGATCTGCTGGTTTCCTGAAAATGCAGCTGCATGCACCGGGGTGCTCCCATCGTGGCAGCGACTGGGGAACGGCAAAAAAAACGTTCAGCAAGGGGAAAAGCAGAATTCCTGGAATGTTGGTGCACTCCCAAATAAATAAACCATGAATAAATGAATAAACCATGAAAAAAA